CAAGAAAGAAAATAAAGAGCAGCCTACAGGAGACAAGACTTACAATGTCCCTTCTCCTAGACACAAACAGGGGAATCTAAGCTACACTAGCTTTTATTTAAGAAACTAAAGTAGGCACACGCAAGTGGTACCTACAGCAAACAACAGACAACTAATTTCCTTGGTTTATAACTAGAGCACAGGCTCTCACTATATGTCTACGAACCTATATATACTATTCCCTTACATAGAAAAAACTTGTAAATTACTAGAGCAGCCTCACTGCTCTCGTCCTATATAGTCTTAGACTCACACAGGACGTTAAACTAATCAATTAATCAATCAATCAACACAAGAGATCTAAGTCTTTTCAGACAACTAGGCAGCTATTCTAAGGCTAAAGACTCCTTCTAATAACCCTAGACAAGCTTAGCAAATCTGCTGCACAAACGCAGCAAAGGCAATTTACAGCAAAGGTGCAACAATTAGTCTACACTAGACCCTAGGATACCTGGATATCACAGGAAACAAAAAAGTAGACGCCTTAGCAAAATAAGCTACAAAATAGCAACTAGTATCTAATACTACAAGCCTTGCAATAACAGGTATTAGGATTAAAGCTATTGCAAGACAAGAGTGGCAACAGAAACTCCAAGCCTACTCTACAAAAGCAAAGCTTAGAAATCCTAGCACCTGTGCAGCAAGATTCTTGCTAAAACTAACAAGCAAGATAACACTGCTAAAAAACACTAGAAGAGAAATTGCAAGCGCATACTACTAGCTAAAGCTTAGACATAGATACAATAAAGCATATCTATACAATAACGTGGTTTATCACCGAGCCGCCAGGTATCACCGAACCGCCACCCCTCGCCAATTTTGCGACTGTTACGATAATTATTACAATGCCATCACAACGCAACGCGCAATCACCCTATAACAAAGGTACACTATACCTTGCTATCTAAGCTACAAAAGCTACTATGCCTGACAGTATAAATCACGTGTCTAAGGCCTTTGGTGTTCCCTAATTAATGTTGAGAGACTAACGCGCAGGAGGGCTTGCACAACGCGATTGCAAGGCTAATTTAAAGAAGCTGACAAAGGTAGAAGAGGAGGCAATAGTTGACTGTATACTTAAGCTGGACAGGCAAGGAATAGGCGCAACAAAGACTATGGTGCAAGATATAGCTAATGATCTGCTTGCTGCACGTGGTGAAGGACCTGTTAGCAAGCTCTGGGTAAACAGGTTCAACACGCGTACCTAACAAATTAAGCTTCGACGTAGCCAACTGTACAATTGTTAACAAGCCCTGAATAAAGATACACGCGTTATAACGCCCTAGTTTGAGCTAGTTAGGAATACAAAGGAGAAGTACAGAATCCTAGATAGAGATACCTACAACTTTAATAAGACTAGGTTCATGATAGGCATAATTAGGTCTAAGATAGTGTTCACAGGCTTAAAGAAGCGATCTAACCCTAAGAATATCTAGCCTAGCAATTAGGAGTGGGTCACAATCATCATTGGTGTCTGCGCTGCTGGCTAGGCTATCCCACCCTTTATTATCTTCTAAGGCAAGGTCCTGATTACAACCTAGTACCCTAATCTGCCTCGCGATTAGGTAATTGCGACTAGCAAGAATAGCTAGACAACAAACAAGCTTAGTCTAGAGTAGTTAAAGCACTTTAACGCGTCTACAAAAGAGTGTATTGTTGGCGCCTACTGTCTGCTTATTATTAATGGCTACAAGAGCTACAACTCTGCAGAGTTCAAGGAATACTGCGTAGAACACAAGATTATTACCTTGTGTATGCCCCCACACTTGTCGCACCTGTTGCAGCTGCTTAACATAGCCTGTTTTAGCCCCTTAAAGAGGGCGTACTTAATTAAGGTTAACGCCTAGTCATAATACTTAAAGACACAAATTAAGAAAGAGTTCTTCCTTACTAGCTTCTAGACAGCCTATTACAAGGCTATTACAAAAGACAATATCCACGGAGGCTTTAGAGGCGCAGGACTAGTTCCTTTTGACCTAGAGCGAGTGCTATTGAAGCTTGATGTGGTCCTTCACACGCCAACACCACCACCACTAGAGACTACCCTATAGGAATCCAAAACACCAACCAGCGCAAAGGAGGTTAAGTCACAAACGTTGTATATCTGTGAGCGCATGCAATTGCACAGAGATTCGCCCCTGTCTCCTATTATAAAATCACTTAACTCGCTTGCTAGAGGGGTTGCGCGGATAGACCATGCCAACGTGCTGCAGAGAAGGGAAATAGATAGCATAAAGAAGGCTATTAAGGCTCTGACAGCGCAGCGTGGTTGCAAAAGAAAGTATATCTAGACAGAGGAGGCTCTCACGGTTGGTGAGGTACAGGATATAATAGCTAAGAAGGACAGTGGTGGTGGTGAGGCATCTGAACAGTCTAGGAAGAAGGTGCGCAAAGAGAGGCACTGCAGACGTTGCAGCAAGACTGGCCACAATTTGCGCACCTGCACTGCAGAAATATTAGATGCAGATAATAGCGCTGCTTCTGAAGAGTAATTGTAGCAATTGTAAGTATTAGTACAGTGTTGTGGTTAAGCGTAATAGTTGTGTAATAGTTAGTGACTCTAAAAAAGTTGGTGAGGGGTGGCGGTTCAGTGATACCTGGCGGCTCGGTGATAAACCACGTTATACAAAAAACAGAAAGCTCTAAATGCAGCTGTGGATATACATAAACACCTTAACACCTAACGTATTCCACAGGCGAGCGCCGCACACGGGCGAGCGCCGCACACGGGCGAGCGCCGCACCTCACCAAACTTACGCACCTTATTTAACGTCTAACTTCACAACGTTATAATAATGTAACGTGAGTGTATAGCGAGTCGGACAGCTAAGCGAGTCGGACACCCTAACAAGCTATTAGGCCTACTATCTGCAATTGCTTAACACCACAACGCAGCAGTGCAATCTATAGTAGATAATATTAATTGCTAATGTCTACTATGTCTTTCTTACACGTGCGCAAATTGTGCCTAGTCTCTCTACAGCGCCTACAGTGCCCTTTACCCCTCTTACCTGCACCTGTTTGAACTCTACCCTCACAACTCTCCCCTTTAACCTGCGCCTCAACGTCGCGTTAGGCTATTAAGTCCTCTGCCTCTTCCTTTGGCAGATCTCCGCCCTTCTAAATACGCTTTCTTTTCCGTGATTTGCGCTCAGAGGCTGCTTTATTTGACGCTTCAAGCTGCAGCACTCGGGCTGCCAATAACGTCTGCCCATGCAGCAGCATTGCCGTGCCTCTCTGCAGCTGATCAACGATCTTAACCATTGGAGTTAGTAACAATCCTTGGTGCTTTTGAATACAATCGCGAAGCAGCGTTAATTAAGCCTCTATCTCACCAGCGTTAGTGGGTGTCTTAGGGTTCTATTGGGGCTCCCCTAAGAGAGGCGGCGTTGGCGTGCGAACCTTAACATTAAGCTTTAATAGTACTACTAATAGGTTACTAGGCACTAAGCCAGTTACTCTAAAGCTTGACAGGATATTTGCCTTTAAAAACGCCTTGTCAAACACCTTTACAAAGGTTGCAAGAAAGGCTTTCTTGTCAATCTAGCTAATATAGTCTAGTGCCAAGACTCTGATCTCTTTGCTGTACGCCCGCTTTAAGGGGGCAAAACAACCCACATCAAGTGGCTGTAGGATGTGAGATGAGTGCGGAGGCATACACAGGGTAATTATCTTATTCTCCTCGCAGAGATTCTGGAAGGCAAGCAACTTGTGGCTCTCATGGCCGTCAATTATCAGCAGCACGTGGCTACCCACCCTCCAGCCCTGAATCTGCTCAACAAAGTGCCTTAGCCAGGCTACACCAATGTCGTTCGTAGTCCAGCTGTTGTTACTAACCCTAATGCGCCATTAGGGCTTTAAATTAGGGTACTAAGACGCGTTGTAGTTCTTTGCTTTGAAGATAAGGTAGGGCGCAATTGCCCAGCCCATCGCGTTGATTGCAGCAATCAATGTCACCCACTCATAGTCTCCCTGCTGGACCCCAATAGGATCCATGCGTCTCTCTAATGCAGTGACTACTTTAACGCAATTTCCAATGCCTATAGTAAAGCCAGTCTTGTTAAAGTTATAGGTATCTTCGTCCTGGATGCTGTACTTGGCCTTAATGTTCTGTACTAGGTCAAACTAGGGTCTAATAACCCCTTAGTCGCTGCAAAGGACTCTCTAGTAATCCCTCTGTTAACTCATACGCGATTAGAGTCCAGGTTCGCGTTTAACAAAGTTTGAAGCCCATCGCGGACCGACAGGTCCTGCGTCACGTGCAGCGCGCAGTTGGTTAGCCATAGCTTCAACCCAATAGAGCGTTGGGGCATGCCCTTGCTCGTCAAGCTTCCTAATATACTGCGCAAGCGTCTGCTCTTCTGTCTTAGTCAGAGCTGATGATTTGGGGTGGGTATCACGTGTTGACTGCTTCCCAGCGCGTCAGTCTTGGAGAGTCGATTTTGGCACTTTGTAGACGTCAGCAGCGCGTCGCACGCTGAGATTTTGGGGATTCTTTGTTGCTTAGAGTGCAAGCTTAACCCTATCTTCTTTTAGGAGCAATTCAAGGTTGGGTGGTTAATCTATTGTGGTTTAAAGGTTGGTAGGCTTAACAGCTTGTTAGGGTGTCCGACTCGCTTAGCTGTCCGACTCGCTATACACTCACGTTAATATACAAAAAACAGAAAGCTCTAAATATAGCTGTAGATATACACAAACACCTTAACACCTACTGCTTAGCTGTAGAAACTACAGAGAAGCAAGAAAGAAAATAAAGAGCAGCCTACAGGAGACAAGACTTATAATGTCCCTTCTCCTAGACACAAACAGGGGAATCTAAGCTACACTAGCTTTTATTTAAGAAACTAGAGTAGGCACACGCAAGTTGTACCTACAGCAAACAACAGACAACTAATTTCCTTTGTTTATAACTAGAGCACAGGCTCTTACTATATGTCTACAAACCTATATATACTATTCCCTTACACAGAAAAAACTTGTAAATTACTAGAGCAGCCTCACTGCTCTCGTCCTATATAGTCTTAGACTCACACAGGACGTTAAACTAATCAATCAATCAATCAATCAATCAACCACATTACAAAGAAGGAGATCCTGCTATGCTTTAAAGCAGCTTACAAGAAAGCTATAGCCGCTAGCAACATCTAGGGAGGGTTCTAAGGGGCTAGATTAGTCCCTTTTAACCTAGAAAGGGTTATATTAACCCTTAATGTGAAGCTGCACACTCTTTTACTACTACTCCCCACAAACAATAAGCCCTAGCAGTTGCAAACCCTAAGTAATACCCTAGAATTTAAGTCGCAATTAGCTCTGATTCAAGACAAATATAAGAGGGAACAGGGTAGCTTACCTACTTCTGTTCTAAGCGCAATTAAGCACTATGCAAAGGGGGGAGCTATCCTGTCGCATAAGCTTGCGCTTGCACAAAAACAAATCCATGAGCTTAAAGCAGCTGCTAAGGCCACTACACAACGCAAATTGCACAAAAGAAAGCGTACTTAAGCTAAATGAAGCCTTGCAGTTGAAGAGGGCTAGCGGTTAACTGCTCTAAGGGAGTTTAGAGCGCGAAGTGATAGATAGATTGATTGATTGATTGATTAGTTTAACGTCCTGTGTGAGTCTGAGACTATATAGGACAAGAGCAGTAAGGCTGCTCTAGTAATTTACAAGTTTTTTCTGTGTAAGGGAATGGTATATATAGGTTTGTAGATATATAGTGAGAGCCTGTGCTCTAGTTTTAAACAAAGGAAATTAGTTGTCTGTTGTTTGCTATAGGTACTACTTGCGTGTGCCTACTTTAGTTTCCTATATAAAAGCTAGTGTAGCTTAGATTCCCCTATTTATGTCTAGGAGAAGGGACATTATAAGTCTTGTCTCCTGTAAGCTGCTCTTTATTTTCTTTCTTGCTTCTCTGTAGTTTCTATAGCTAAGCAGTAGGTGTTAAGGTGTTTGTGTATATCTATAGCTATATTTAGAGCTTTCTGTTTTTTGTATATTGTGTAGATATGCTTTGTTGTATCTATGTCTTAGCTTTAGCTAGTAGTATGCGCTTGCAATTTCTCTTCTAGTGTTTTTTAGCAGTGTTATCTTGCTTGTTAGTTTTAGCAAGAATCTTGCTGCAAAGGTGCTAGGATTTCTAAGCTTTGCTTTTGTAGAGTAGGCTTAGAGTTTCTGTTGCCACTCTTGTCTTGCAATAGCTTTAATCCTAATACCTGTCATTGCAAGACTTGTTATATTAGATACTAGTTGCTCTTTTATAGCTTGTTTTGCCAAGATGTCTGCTTTTTTGTTTCCTGTAATATCTAGGTGTCTTAGGGTCTAGTGTAGGCTAATTATTGCGCCTTTGCTATTAATTGCCTTTGCTGCGTTTGTGTAGCAGATTTGCTAAGCTTGTCTAGGGTTATTAGAAGGAGTTTTTAGCCTTAGAATAGCTGCCTAGTTGTCTACAAAGACTTAGATCTCTTGTGTTGCTCTGGCTATAGAAGCTGCAAACTTAAAGGCTCTTGTTATGCCTTCTAGCTCTTTATTGTATACAATCTAGCCTTTGCTAATATTATATTTAGTAGAGTAGATTTCTTTAGCCTGCTATTTATAGTCTAGAGCAGTAACTCCTATTCCTATTCCTGTGCCTTTCTTAATAGAAGAGGCGTCTGTATAGATAGCGAGTAGGTTGTCTCCTAGTCTCTGTAGCATTTGCTTTTTGTGTTGCTCTGCTTCTTCTTCTTTAGAGAGTTTAGAGATCTCTGCTGTGTATAATATAGTCTTGTTCTAGGGGAAGAAATAGTAGTCCTGCAATTTTTCTTCTTCTGTGCTAGGAGTAGCATTTTGTATTAATTGTATAATTTGCATAAGCTAAGTAGGTAGGCCTGTTCTTAGCCTTAGGAGAGCAGCTTCTTCCTCTTATTCTGTGCTAGACTCTAACTAAGTCTTCTCTTTATAACTGTAGAGTGGCTTTTAGAGTCTTAATTATAATATAAATAGGGTGGTCTTAGGTAGCTTTCTAGCTCTAAAGGCGTACTTTCTTAGAGCAGTATTTAGTCTTATAGCAGGGGGAGGGAGTGCTGCTTCTGTCTCCTGTGGTGCTACAGGAGAGGTCCTAAAGGTTCCTAGGATTTTCCTTAGGGCAAGATTCTGTAGTCCTTAGAGTTGCTTTGCTATTCCTGCTTGTTGTTTCTAGAAGATCTAGCAATCATAATCTGCGATGCTAGAAACGCATGCTAAGTATAGCTGTCTTATAGCACTAGGAGGGAGGCCTCTATTGCTATTTGCAAGTCTGCACATTCTGTAGAAAGCGTTTCTTGCTTGGCTAATCCTTGTAGCTACGTGTTCTTTAAAGGAGAGTGCGTTATTAAAGTAGATTCCTAGCCACTTTACTGTCTTTTTAGGCTCTATAGTAGACCTGTCTAGCAGGGTAAGTGTA